TCTGTACAAATCAGAGATGACGTTAGCTTTCAGACATTTTCGATTACCATCTGGACATTCCAGGGATCCCACACATGAGAGAACTGGAGTCACATCAAGCTCCAACTGTCCAGACTCGAGTTGCGGATTACACAAGAGATTACACTCGAAAAGGGATCGGAATACTGGAAATTAGCAAACGATGACGCCTCAGTGGGAGCGACATGTACAAATTTCTATGAATACCCTGTGCCAGAAGATGTAGGATAAGATAGCCTGCAAATCGTACGATACAACACCAAAATTGATCTCTTCGCTTCTCCAGGGGTTCATCTAGCAAGATTACATTCAAAACTTTTGACAATCGTAGAGTAATATATTACCTGGGAGGCGTGGCTCCTTCAGACTCACTGTCCACCATTAACCTGAACTGTTTCCTGACCAAAAGTAGCATGCAGCTTGAGAAAGAAGTAAGGAGGATTGCGTTTATCGTCATCTGGCGTATGCAGGAAACGATCAGACGCTGGGCTGGAAGAATCACAGTATTAAAGTTGCTGCCTTTCGAGGAATATATGTATCTCAAACATATGGTGCACAGAAGGCCGCAGTCCCAAGACCATGACCGATGTCTACGCATTTGGACCGGCAAGCATGTGGGATATCGAGGAGAGCTGTGATACAGAAACATCGCAGTGGAGAGGTTGATTTCATAGAATTGAGTGCAAAGCTTTTTCAGAAGGGGACAAAATCCTTGTACGAAAGACTGTTTGTAGTTTTGGAGTATCAAGTGATGAAATGTTCCAGCTGGTTAGTATGTTTCCTTGTAAATGGCTTATTGTCTTGACGAACATGTTTCAGAAGATGCAGTTCTTGTCAATCGTAGGCATTCACTTCTATATTGTCGATCGTAGGATTCTCTTCTGTGACATCTATGGTTCAGCAGGGCTAAAACTTTGACATTAGTCGCCTCTTGATCACAACTGTAGTCATCATTCAACATTTCTTCTCAAATTTGCTTGAATTTTGTTTACGTCCATATTCCGACACAAGGGACGGAGCGCCAACTTATGATCGGGTCTAGCTCGCAGATCCCAACTACCCACATCTACTATGATTTCACATTGCAGTTCTTGTCGAGTTGCCCCACCTTATAAATTGTGACTTCGAAACTTATCAACCTTTTGCAAAACTCAAAGTAAGAAAAAATTTGCAGCTAAAGAGTTCAATAACAAGCGAACGAAATATTAGATACCAACGAAGGAGGATAGAAGCGTTGCCCTAGCATGCGCACTTCATACTGCCCAAAAAAAATTACATTCTACAATAAATTCCTGTTATGGAGGTCTGGAAGCTGCTTACGACTTTCCTTCCAGATGTTTGACATGCAGTTCTCATTGTCCCTACTAATATTGTCAGCTTCATTCAGAAAACAATCTTAAATTAAAAGCAGTTTGATTTGCCCTTCAACTATAGCTATAGACAGTAACTGTAGTTTCAGGTCATTTAATATTCGCTCGGTTCGATCTACCAAAGTACAGGATAGTTGAGAATCTGCGATCATTGAGACCACTCGAGTAATTGCAGGCAGAAGATTCAGGGAGCCTTTGTTGGGCAGGAATCCGATCGATTGAAACCATCAAGGGTCAGATACCACCTGCAATTGAATCCAGCTGCAAGCGTTTGCTTGCTGCAAGTTCGGAGAAGGCCATATTGCATAAGATCTGAGCTCTCACAAGGTACCGGCTGCAGCGTCTATGCGCTTATTTCCTGCCGCTACGATTTGTAATCACGTGGTGGTTCTCACGCGTTAACAATCCTTAACTAATCAAAGGTAAAACTCGAAGGTAAAGCCGATAGAGGCAGTCATCCTCCTCTACGCGCAATTGAGCAAATGTGGAGAGATTTAATTTTGCAGAGTCGGTGTTACATATTAAGGACCTTCCCCTCTTTCTTTGTGACAAACTACGTTGCCGTGTACTGAGCCTTGTGACTTAATTTGCGCCTGGATGATCTGTCATGCACGAAGCAGTGTGCCGTAAATAGTCAGTGATACAAGCTCGCTACAAAGGGGCTCAAATTGAACACTTTGGCCACCCCATCAAAATTCCGTAAATGTCTCGATGGCTGGAATCTTGCGCCCACGTACGTGCTACTTGTTACAGAGGTACCACACCATCTTTATATATTCCCCGCGTAGCTCCACTCCATTCTTATCATCCAAAGAGATGTAAGCAAATAAAGTAAGAATATTTCTTCATGCGTCGACCAAACCCAATGAGCAGGCTCTTGGAAAATCTCAAAGTGTGCTTCAGTTTCTGGCATTGGTGTACCTCCTCAAGAGTCCTCAATTCCATCAAGCATAATCATCCATCTTCCATCAAACTGTGAGACGTTTCTGAGTTCAAATGTCCAGAATAGTGTGAAATCTTTCGTTATATTTGAGGATAACATGAAGATGTCCCAATTGATAAAAAGGAGCCATTTTTCCGTCACTTGTCCATTGAAGTACTATTTCGCAAGGTCATGTAATCATGGCCTTCAGAGCAGAAGGAAACATATTCCTAAGGTCCGCAGCTGCTGCAGATTCAGACAGAACAACAGATGAGGTGGCATAAGCACAACTCATGACTTATGAGCCATAAGAGTCGACGGAGTGCATTGCTGAAGCAAATATTTTTCTTCCGCTCCAATTAGAAGAAGTTGAGCATAGAAGAGATGGTCCAGACCAAAGAACGAGATATGTTGTCATCGTATGAAGCTGCTTTCCCTAGTTCTCAATGTTGACAAGGAAAGTTTCTAGACGCGAAGCCAACTTCAATACTTCTGTCTGGACATGCTCACAAGTTCCAGGGCAGCATTCACATTTCCTTCTGAAACGAAGACGTCCAGATCTTAGTTGGGAGACATCAGTACATGAGTCAATCAAGGTCGAAAGCTCAGATTTATTTGACCATTAAAAAAAGTGACGATTAGTCCATCGATTTCACTAGTTATGGAAATTGCATTATTTTCGGATGTGGATACAGCCTTCGATCTAATATATAGCTGTGATAAGTCATCTTTTTGACATCTCAGTTGTCATTGTATGCGGAAACTACCTTGCAAGTTGAAACAAGCCAGGAGTACAACAGTGAGAATCAAGTTATAATAATCTACGATTGACGAACATGATTGATGGATGATATTACAGATCCACTCAAGATCAGTATCGATCATCAGACGACTAGTTTTCCATTTTGCCTTTAGGCAACGTGAAAAGACATTTGCAGCATGGGACTGACCACTGAGATATCGCGCCTTGTTTCCTGGGTGACGTTTAGTTATGGCTGGAATTCTGTCTAGTCTCCACGTGTAATATGCGGCAAATGGAGTGTGTGATCGAAGCTTATAATCAGAATTGTGCGTGACTTGAATGCCTCTCAATAAAGAAGAACAAAGTATTCAAATTGGAATATTGATCTGAACATCGTAAACGCACTTTCAAAAGTACGTGGAATCTGTTTGCAAGTTTGTGGGAGTCGTAAAGCAATCATACGTAAATTATGCTGAGGAGTTTAGTGGACCTCCGAAAGTGCCTTTGAGAGAGTGAGTTCATAGAATCTTGAACTGAGTTTCAATTGCATGAACAAAGTAGAATATAAAAAAGTTTATGTTTCTAATTTCAAAAGAAAAAAACACTAACATTATTCCACCAAGTGAGATGTTTGCTTAATATACCGCAAAACCATGTGGTATTCCTTCATTGTGATCGCGAATCTCGAACATAGACCTCTTATATATCAGTTTTAGATATATGAATTTTTCTAGATCTATATCCTAATCATATTCACCTATTATCTGTCGTCTAATGGGCTGGGTTTAGTTCCTATATGTCAAGTGCTTATCATTCCTATTGCATATCGGGTTAGGATCTAACACGTGAAGGCAATAAAGTTGCGAGTGGGCGTATGCATGCAGCACATGTAGCGTGAACACTTAGTGCGTGTTAGAGCAGCAGTAAAGAACCATCCATGTACATCAACAGAGAAGTATATAACCTGAACTGAAATTATCGATGAAGAAAATTTAAGAAATTTAAATTTCACATCCTAGAGGAAAATCAAGAACTTATTTTTTAGATGGTGTGCATCCATAACTACAAACCCCTGGACCAATCATTCTGACTTAGTTACAGTGATCATGCACTCATGATGTCCTACTAACATGCAGCGTGCCAATGGACGAACTGATACGAACTACTGTGAAACAAATGAATATGACCTTGCATCACAAAACTTATCTGCAACTTACATCGATCTAAAGAGAGATGTGCAACAAGTAGTCTTGACACTGACTGGACTTCATGGTGCACTAGAATAGTTCTTTAGCTTCTCTAGAACCGATCGACACATACGTTCAAATCTCAACAGTCTGTTAAGAAGGAATAGGATCGACTAGTCAACTGGAGCCATACTATAGAGACTCGTAACTTGATGTTAGGAGGAAAGGCATACTTTACACTGAATGCGAACGCACCTTGTATCAATAGAGCTGAAGGGTCCGAAGGCGGAACCTTCATATTGAAAGGCACTGGTGTGAACATGTCGAGCAAATCATCGATTCTCACAATCAGCCACCGAAGATGACTGACACTTGATTGTTGGCAGGAAATAGATTCTCAAGGGTTCACTGATGTTGATTTCTGTTGCGCAACCTGTTTGAGGACACCTGGATTTGCAACAAGTCACTCCAGGCCAGGAACAAGTATTCACTCTTGAAGTATACAGACCAGACCAGTCCGGAATTCTCACTAAAATAATACCAGCAACACTATAAATGCGAAAGAATCCATATTTTAATGTTAAACTAAATGCGCAGCAGAATACAAGTTGTGGGAAACCCTAAAATGAACTTCTCCTGATTCCACAAAGCGTATTCCTTGGATGATAGGGCCGATAGCAAACCGCCCTCCCTGCACAAAACATGGGACCCAAAAGGAGTTTTGAAAAAGCAAAACATGAATCTTAACGCTACAAAAGGGGAGTCATCTGCCTCTCTTGTTGTGCGCGGTGAATTGGTTTCTCGGGAGGGAAGGTTTGGTGGCGCCTTATCCCTCCTGGAGAGTGATGAATTCTGGTGTACCCGCCCATCCTGATGCATATGCTCAGGCGTAGGATTTCATAAAATATTGGAGTGACTGTTCACGTATTCAAGAGCTTGGAATCGCTGAAACTCCATGTGAAGCTTAGATCGAAAACGTTTGATCAGAATTGCACATCTTCTAGAAATACTCTTCAGTTCACTTGCATTTTAGCGCAGAGAACTTCTGACTGCAGCTACATATGTGTAACTCCGAGTTCCTCCAGCTGCTCTCTTACCTGTCGAGCTCGCAAAGACCGGTTGTAATTTCAATGTTTCGGTTCACAATCCCAGCAATGCACTCCAGTTATTACTCTGTCGCAGCTATAGAATTTGGAAATTTGGGTCCAAATTCTAGCTGGAACGTCAATCCCAAAGAAGTCCTCTTCACCTTCAGATTTTGATATTTTTCGTTCATCGCAAGCAGGTCTAGTGACAGATTATCAGCTTTAGAACGACAGAAACGACTGGCTATCATGGCTCGAGGCATGATGGTACACGGAGTGAGGGTCGTCCACGATTCAAGCCCTCTGGCCATCATGCAGTCGCTCGACGGAGGACTGTTAAGCTCACCAGGTCCAGTCAGTGGCTTGCAGGGAAATGGTGGCTTAGGATTGAAAGTTGGGTTGATGGTCGCCGCAATTTTCATTGCGCTGGTTCTTTTCTTAGGTCTGTGCGAGAAGAGGAAAAAGATCTTAGAATTTTTGGATCACAAGCATGCTCGAGTGGGACCGGTACCAGAAGGAGTCGAGTTCGAAGACTTAGAACCGGCAGCACCAGCCGTCGCAGGCTCCGCTGCACAAAATCAAGCTGTAGATCAAGCATAGTGAGCAAAATGTGGCAGGACTTTGCCTGAAGCTCGCAATGACGGTGAGTCCAACACTTGTGAAGGAATCAGATACCCAGGATGTGGCCATGGAAAAGTGGATTTTTTCTAGAACTTGGCAAGATTAAGTCTTAGAATTTTGCTCAAGGTGTCCACCATGAGCTCACAAGGAGGTGAGATGAGCTGAAATACGATATATACGAGGCACAACAAGTAGGAAGCACAGGTTCAAGATGGCTGCATCTACGGCTGGAGGGTTCCATTTGAGAAGGTGTTGGTCGTAGAAGTCAAATTGAGCACCTGTGGACACTGAGGCTAGATCCACACTTACGCATAGGAAAATTTTCTCGATGCAGTTGCTCCAAGCCATGTTGTAATTCGTCACGTAACCATGACTAGTGGAGACATGTTCAAGCTGGAACCTCATTTCTACTCGTTCGAAAGCTTGGCTGAGGTTGACGCACATTATATCGTAGGCACTGTCATGACACAACGGGACTTTCAATATCCATGCAACAGAAGGTTCTGGTGGCACATAACGGAGGTGGAAATGTTGAAAGGTCACTCGAACTTTAGTATCAAATTTTGACATTTTGAATGTGGTTGGAGGGAAGGTTTTGACCGAGAGGTGCCTCGCCTGACACAAGAGGCGGCAGTGTGATGAGTTCAAGTTCGCCATTCTATCTACATAAGCTTTTTCATCGCCACTGAAATTGCTTTTGAGTTTTCATCTACTGAGAAAAATTAGGCATTCGTGAATTACGCCATACATTCAAAGGCTCTGATAGTCCTAGGCGGGGGAGCCTTTCAAACTACATGAGGTCTGGCGTATAACAGAGGAGTCGAGGCTTAGAATCAAAGATATGATAGAGAACGAGAGTATGCAGTGCTACTCTTAGTACTGCAGCATTAATGAAGAGACAGGCGCTCACGTAGAAGCTCTAGAATCAGGAACGCGAGAAAGTTTGAAATTTGCGATGGATCCTGCAGAAGTTTTGCAAACGTATATGTAGAGAAATGTACTGCGACCTGCGCCATAGTCAGCGCTATCTTAGGGACAGCTTTGTAGCTGCAGATACTACCCTATCGTCATAGAAGACCTCGAAAATAAAATAATTTTTTTCTGGACGTGACCTTACGGGAGCGAGGAGCTCCAGTCTAAATTATGCACCACCTTAGCCTTTAGGAACAACCTACAGTTGCACGTTGGGCAAACTCTTAAGAAATTTGGGTCATCTGACAAAACGGACTCACGCAAACTAGTGTACACGAACTGTACAGAACCTGTTGAGACTTTGAGCGGAATAAATGCAATTGTCAGTTGTTCTCCTTCAATTTTGGGCACTGGCTCTCAAGATGCCCTCTATTATGGCATTCTATCCGTAATCACGCGTAACTGCTATCATCGGGGTACGGGTATATATTTTAAGAAATTCCAGCTTCTCATTCAACAAAGCTATAGAGGACGATCCGTGCTAGGTTTCAGATACGTGTGCACGTTTGTGGCATGCAAGTTCAGCCCAGCTCTTGAAGTTGCAGCCCTACTCAAAGGTCGTGCGTTATCAAACCTCTTCGCTGGATATAGAGTCATCATCAAAAGACAGTGACCAGATCTAATACAGGCAAGTTTGTGATCTGGCACGAGATGCTGGAAGTGGGGGTTGTGTGTTTTGGTTCCGTCGCTTCAGTGGAATATTCAAGGAGCCAAACAGCATGACTACTCTGTATCCATGTCACAGCCTGGAAACATAGTGCGTCAAAAGGCTAAGTCAGTACGAAGATAGATAACCAGCTGGTTCCCGAGTACACTCGTAAACAAACGTCGTCAAGTGCTGTCCAACTTGAAACTTAAACTTAGTTCGACTATCCTTGTAACAGTTGATTTTGCAATACGTCGATAAATTTTGAGCAGCGGTAACTGTAGTAGCCTTCCATCAGCACAACATACTTCGACAACTTTTCAAGTCTTGAATATGAAGAAAGAAAATGTAATGTAATATTAACTAAAATATGAATTAATTTCGATTGATTTGTTTTCGTATGCACTTGAAGTTTGTTATTTTTTGGGAGACATCAAAGACTATTGTCAATAAACCAAATAGCAACAACATCACTTTTTTCTGAATCTATAAATATTGAATCATGAAACAGAAACAAAAAATTTCGAGACATCAAAATGAAAAATTGGAAAAACTTGCAATATTCTGAGTCAGATTTTGCCTAATATACTATAAGAACTTTCATGTAATTTCTGTTAGTTGAATACTTTATATTCTAGAAAAAATAAATTATGCGTCATTTAACGTTGATCAAATTTCCGATTATATAACATTGGGATGTACAATATTAATGACAGCCGTGGACTATAATAAATTAAAAGCCATAGTGAACGCAATTCTATTACTTCTGTTCTGTACTTTTAAACCCTCTATATTCGAAAGAGCTATGGGGAAACCTAAATAAAGTTTTGAAAACCTAGTGTTGAGAATATTTTTTTTGGTCGAGAAACCTCCTGATTGGAAGGAATATTCTTCTTGATCTTTTCTGCAGCTTAACCTGAATTTAGTGCTTTCATCCTGAACTTCAGGATACAAGCGGTACGTGTACCGGACTTCTTTGCATGCAAAACAGCCAGGTGAGAGTTAGTACAAGTCCACCGTCTTTCCGGAAACGTTGGCAGGGCAGTCGAATCTTCGACTTGTATCAGACTCAGCCGTTACATCGCACAAACTCTGCAAAGAAGATCAGAGAAAGAGCTACAGTCTTTAAGATTGAAGTCTGTTACCGATTGCAGGTCTTGAGAGTCAAGAAGTTTACAGCGCGAGCCTGGAGGTTTACAAAACTATACACTGTGATCAAGGGCGCTGTGGAAATACTTGTGTGCTAGAACTGGTAGAAAGAGTTGGGAGGAGAAAGGACCTGATTTTCATTTCAGCTTGCCTATGGAAATTACTAGAAGCACACCATGATCAAGAAGGGGCGTATTTGGTTCGATTGAAGAAGCGAAGTAGGTGATTCTCGTGACAAAAAGCATTGCAGGCCAACAAGCATGTTATGGTGATGAACTGGGTACTTCCCAGCTGGAAATGATATAGCTTCTCTGCCTCAAAATAGCAAGAGATTTCATATACAGCAGTAGTTAGACACGAAGATATGGCTACGGAGCACCATCTTCCAATTCGTATTCCATATGTGGTCGCTGGCATTGCAGTCGTTATGATCTTCGCAGTTGGGGTGATTATGTACTTGCAAAGGAGAAGGATCATGCGATACTGGAGAGTTATCCGAGCTCGGATGTCTAGACACATACGTGAAGACCAAGTTCTCTTGATTTCAAGATAAGTCACTCAGTCAGCAGTTTCGCCCGGTTTTCCATGAAGCCCTGCTTACCGTGAGCTAACGTTACAAAACTAGTTCCGCTCCTCCAAGTGCAGCACGATAGTTTGGTCCTCTTCAAAGATTTTCGACTAGCCAGGAAGAAGCTACTCGCATGGGTCCAAGAGACCAAGAACTATTCTACATGGACATGCTACTTCCGATCAGTCTCTGAACTACACTACACTGTCCTTGCAAAGCTATGCAGAGACTTTATCGATGTGCCTGCAGATGGAGAAGTATTTTCATCTCCGCAGTGAATGAATTTATTTCACGGATGTGTTGCGAATGATCCGAGGGTTATCATACACCATGTGAGACGAGTGTCCATGGAAGTCGTCTTGAAAAGAGTAGTGTCGAAATATCTTTATGAAGAAAACTTTTCGAGCATAGCATATTTTTAACATATCGAACAAAACAGGAAAGGGGATTTGTAGATGTAAAGTGGGTGTTTTCATTTTCATATTTCTATGGCATTTGGAAAAACTCTACCAACAACTGAAACCTCCATCCATAAATTGATGTTTCTCGTGCACAACTTGTATTGAATTCAAAGACAAAACTGACTCTATTGATAAATAAAATATAATGTCATTGTCCCATATTCATATTATTGTAGTCTTTAATCACATGCTGGTAGATTGAAGTGTAGAAGAGAGTGTATTTGAAGTTCTTGACTTGAAGATGTAGGCAAGAAATGGAGAAAATTTAACAATGTGAAGGGGGTGCTGATTTGGATTGCATGGACAGTACATGACTTGGAATAGACTAATCTAGTTTGAAAGTGATGAACAGTGGTTCATCGCTTTTTTTCTTTGTCATACGATGAACACTCCTCGAGAGTACAATTATTCTGTGTGTTAGATTTCATCAAAAAATTAATTAGGTTGCTTCTTCAGTCAAACAAAATAAAGTTTCGAACTTTAATAAAAAACATACGAGCGACATAGAAGAGAAGAGTACAGAAGCCAGCCAGAATTATGAAATTATCCAGCAAAGTATCAACTCTTCATACTTACATGGATCTAAAGAACATGAGCATGAATTAGTTTCAATATTCAAGCGATTGTGGACAATTCTTAGCGAAAGTTTAGTTATTACTTAAAGCTCAATATTACCGTTTTGCGTAACATTATCACATGATAATCCAAGTCATACTCTAAGAATTTATACATGTAATTACACAAGTATACAAAGATTAAAAAGGACAAATGAGTGTTTGATTCCAAGAAATGAACTAAAGAATAAGAATTCTACATTTTTTGCTAGTCGTAGATCTAGACCATACTCTTGATTAGCATAAAACAGATTCATTATTTTCATACTAATTAAACACAATCTTGCTATATGCCATATCTAGCGCACAAATTGTTTTTGAATGACACTATCGCATGAGGATATTTAAAAAAATTGCTTGACCGTTCAACAATTCAAGATTGTCAACATTTGAAAAAATTTCCGGAATTATCTTAAAAAAGAAACAGAATATTTATTTAATAAAATAAACGGATAAAATGATAAAATGATGAAACACACTTATGATGGAAGAGTTGAAAATATTGATTACATTCACATTTAAGCTGTTTAAAAATACTAGAAAAATAGAAACTTTAGAAGTCAAATTGCTTGTTCTGAGCAATATGGCTGTGGTAACTCACTTTTTGTTTTTGTGCGGAATTTTAAACATTTTTGGAAAACAAGTACCGCAGCAGCAATTGTAAATAGTAATCGGTACATAAAATAGAATGAAAAAGGAGGATCGCATGTCATGGAGAATCCAGGGGTGGGGAGGGGCCAAGACCGAGGTCCGGCGCCTTGTTCGGCGCAGACGGTTCCTACCGGGGAGAGCGCCTTCGGCGCCTTTGGCAACAACTTCTTTTTTGAGGTGTCTTCGGCGATGCGCCTTCGGCGCAGACGCCTCCAGAGGAGCTGTCGCTGAGGATGCAGGAAGCATGCGCGACGGACGCCTTCATCTCAGGCAAAACGACCTCGTCATTTTGTATGCCTTCGCCCGTACGCCTCCGGCGGTAAGTTCCTTCGTCCCAACACCTTCGGCACTAGCGCCGCCTTCGTCGATAGGTTTCGCCTTCGGCGTACGGAAGGCCTTCGCCTCTACGATCCTTTTTCGGTAGAAAGATGCGCTTTAAGCGGAAGGACTCGCCTTCGTTGGAAGCGGAAAGGACAAAGAAGTCGGCGGAAGACGTGTCTTCGTCGCAAGCGCCTTTGGCGGAGCACCTTCGGCGATACGCGAGCGGAGAACTGATTCGGCGGAAATCGGCGGAATGAAGATTGAACGTACAAGCGTGGGAGTCCGCGCAATGGCGGAGCGTGAATTTGAGCGTGCGAATTGGGCCGTTACACCTCCGCGCCGGCATCGCATTCAAGCGAGCTGCAGCCAGTCCAAGAGTCGAACGTTGGGCGATCTTGATCGCCGAAGGAAGGGCAGACCTCGCCGCGCTCTCACTCTCCCAATTTTGATTTCGCGTTCACCCGAGCTCCTGACGCGCAGCGGTGTAATTTGCAGCAATCTTGCGGAGAGAATTCTAAATGTGAGGAGTGTGAGGAGCGCGCAGCAATCGAGTGCGCAGAAGTAGAATCTTGCAGGAGTCTTGTGGAGAATTCGCGGAGGACTTGCGGAATGATCACTGAGTGTGAGGAGAGTGTGTAATCGCAGTAGCTCGTGGAAAACTTGCACGGAGAGATGTCGGGAGTGCGCAAGAAGTGTAGAGAGAAATTACAGCGAGTTCGCTTGAGCTCCTTACGCGCAGTAACGAGTGCGCAAAGGGCAAGAAGTTCGCGTCGGCAGAGAGAAGGAGTGTGCAGGAACTTGCAAGAAGGTCGATGGCCCGGTCCAC